CTCTCTCTCTCTCTCTCTCTCTCTCTCTCTCTCTCTCTCTCTCTCTCCCACACTCTCTCTCTCTTTGTTTTACTGTTTTCTGTCATTCTCCCGCCCTCTCCCTGTCCCTCAGGGTGCTGCCCTTAAGGAAGGACTGTCAGATCCAAACAGGACCTCCGGCCAGCGCCCTCAACCTCAAGGTTGTCTGAACACTGTTGTCCATTGTAATACAAGTGTTGTAGGCCCAAAGCAAGTCTAGGAAACAGTCTCTGAATCAATCATGCTACAGTTCACTCTCAGACCTCTTTAGAGATTTTTTCTAAAATTAAGTTTCCAGTATTTGAAAAATGTTCTCACTCAAAATAAACACTGCCATTAGAAGAATTTGTTTAGAATAAAAATGGAAATGAAACTAAGATACAACCTGTTAATTAGAAATGCTGGTAGGCGCATTTGGTTGCCTTTGACAGAGCCAGGCTAGCTGTTTCCCCCTGTTCCAGGCCTTTGGGCTAAGCTAAGCTAACTAGATGATGCGCTGTAGTTACATATTTACCATACAGACATGAGAGTGGTATCAATCGTCTCCTCAACTTCTTGGCAAGAAAATGAATGGGCATTTCCCAAAATGTCAAACTATAACGAAAACGGAGTAGTATGGACATGGCCAGAGTAAGAGCAGTTTGTATTTTATCTGCATCCGTATCTCTGTTCCTTGAAGGTAACATTGTCTAAGAAAAGAGAAAGACCTCAGCTGTCTGTCTGAGCTATACGGCCTTGTCTCCGTTTAAGTTACAAGCATTTAGCCAGCCTGTTAAGTTTAACTGCAACCTTAGTGTCTGTGTTAGTGTGGTGATGTGTGTGCTCAGGGCAGATGTGTTCAAACTAAATGTGACAACTAAAAGCAGTGGTAACAGCGTGCAAAGCGATAAATTAACAAAGCCATTGTTATTTTACTGTCAATGTGTAAATGTTTGCATGTTTGTTCCTTATCTTGAATTCCGTTTTTTCTCATTTTGCATGAATGTGGAAAATGTTGGTGTTCCTTATGTGTGTGCTGGTTGTTTTTTTTATATTTTACAGGAATTGTTAGAGTCTCGTGCAGTGCCTATTCAAAAACATGCCTGTTCAGAACGGGCCGAATGCTTGGCCTGTGGTGAACAACTTCGCTCCGACAATACGGTTCCTTGGGAACTCGGCAATACAAACATAGTTGCGTCACACACTGAAGTCGCAGCTACTAACGGTCAGAAACAGTGAAATATACTGTAGTTCATGGGAAAGACACCAGGGGCTCACTTTACCACACCTTACCCAACTAAAAGGGCCCCTAACAGCGAGACACTCATTATGATGTTTAAATATGAGAAACTCATTGTACCCTTACATACTTAGCATACATACTCTTAGCAAGGTAATAATAGGTTATGAAGTAGAGCATGGGATTACTTTGTGAAGGTTTTTTTCCGGTGGTAATGTTAGTGTGTTAAGTTAGTGTCAAGTCTTACACCGAGGAAATGCAGTTTTATTCACGGGGGGAAAACACACCCATGCAGCAGCTTAGTCACGGTCACATCGGTGAAAACGCTGCGGTTCAATTCTGCTTCCCGTTGACCATCCGCTCGTGTTGACTCAATGAGCCGCGCTCTGCCCGCTGCGGACGACATGCTGGACTCAGTCTGCAGAGCCATGACGCCCCGCCCCCGCTGCTGAACAGAGCACTCTTCAGTTGTTTAATAAAATGATGTTGCATATCTAAATAGCACCAAATTCGACAAAAGCACTCCCTTGGTACCCGAGCACTACACCCGAGCAGTGTGAAGTACATCAGATGACAGATTCAGAGAGCAGACAGGCAGACCGATGAACATGTTTCTACAGATCGGCTGCGTTTCCGTCTTACTGAATAATGCTTGACTTTTGAATCCTTTTTTATCTTTAAATTCTGTACATTGTTTTGGTGTGCCTCAGTTAACAGTATGCGCAGAGATTCTTCCTTCTGTCAAGCTACAAAGCCCCCTTTGCAGGATCAGAATGTTTTGTGAATAACTGCTGGGTGTTGTCTTTTGTTATATATTAACTTTCATAACTCTTTGTTATGTGGGTTTATACTCTACGGTACACAATACATATTTGTCTTGTCAATTCTTTGCATGTTAATTTCCTAATTAGCTTGGATCCAAATCACTGAATTAGTGATCTGTATACACAATGTGACTAATTAGTCTGCTCTCCTCTGTCTCAATCTTTCCTGAGTGACAAACAAACAAACACATGTTAAATACCAGTATGTTGGCAAGTGACCAATATAAAGCGTGGTGTGGAGTGTGTGATTTAGTAATTCAAGGTTTTGTATCAAAGCAAATTGTTACCGTGTTGTCCTTTACAAGTTAAATATGTTTGTACAAATGGTATTTTCTTTGGTTTGTATGTGTCGTGAGTCCCAAGCAACCATTGGGATGCTTTGTGACAAACACTTAAAACGTAAGACTTGTCGCCAGTTACTGCAGTGGCCTGACAGTAAAGACTCTATGAGAATGTCTGGGATGAATTTTCACGAAGGTTTTGTCGTGATCATTTATATAATGTCATTAAAGTGCAAAATCTAAATGTATATAGTACTAATCAACAACTCATAACACTAATTAATATACATTTTCCAAGCTGTCTTTAAATAACCCTTTTTATAAAGGTTTTAGCATATCATTTACACACCCAGCTATAATCCTGCTGCGTCCTGGAAAATGAATTATCAGCCACTGGAAACTCATCCCTGCCCCGTCACTTCCTACTCAGCATGTGGAATCCTTTGTTTCTTTTGTGCTGCATGATGGGTTGCTTTGCTGCATGTGTTTGAGTCACTGAGTTGTTTGATGCCAGTATCCTTTTCTGGTTGTATCATATCTCCTTTTGTTGTTTACTTTCCTTCATCCTCATGTTATCCCCTTTGTTTCTTTTCTTTTTTTCAACCACACTACCTCCTAATGGTCACTGTTATTATTATGCATAAAAGCAAGAAACACTTGGCATGACAGGCTAGTCACCACACCTTCTCTTAGCCGTTGATCTGCCGCCCCCTGCTGGTCATTGCAGTCCAAACATTCAGAGCCTGCTTCGCCCCAGTCTGTTCTTGACAGATGAGTTGGTCAGGGATTCTATGAATGCGAGAGGTTGTTATGTGAATGAGCATGTCCAGACTCAAGCTCATTATCGGTATCATGTCCTGCTTTGGTCTGAAGTGAGTGTTGCAGGCACCTGGTTTTCTTAATGCTGCACTAAAACAACAGGTGCTAGATGTAAGAAATAATGATGCTTCTTGATTTATTTCCTTTACTTCTCCTTTTGCTTGTCTTGTCATGTGTTGTATAACCAAGAACTATATTCTAATGTAATTATATTTGAATCTTTTAGGTGCCCCAGTGAAATCACAGAGTGTGGAGTCAAGATCAGAATCAGCTAAGAGAGCATCTGAACCGGTACCAAAGCCCGGCCAGGCCCAAAAACCTGGTCCAGGTCCAGCTCAGACTCAGAAGGGCCCAGTCCAGAGGGCCGCCTCAGTCACAAGGCCTCCAGTGCCGAGGCCTCCCCCCCCCAATGCTGAGAGGCACATCAGTCGCAAAGTCAGCCCCAGATTCTGCTTCCACCCCAGCCAAAGCTTCACCATCATCCCCAGCGAAAGCAGCAGCAGCTGCAGCTCCAGGCTCTCCCCCAACCAAAGCAGCAGCAGCCACAGCTCCAGCCTCAGCTCCAGTCCCAGCTTCTCCCTCAGCCTCAGCTCCTACCACAGAGCAGCCCAAGCCCCAGCCTCAGGGCTCCCCAACCCCAGCTCCTGGCAAACCAAAAGAGCTGCCCCCCAAACCCGCACCACCTGCAAAGCCCATCCCTCCGCTACGCAGGAATTCAAAGCCGCAGCTCCAGCCAAAGCCACAAACCCCTCCTCCTCCCCTCAAAGCTTCACCCAAACCCCAGCCCGCTCAGGCCTCAGATACTGCCTCGGCCCCAGCACAGGTTCAGTCCCCAGCCAAAGTCAGCCAGTCCCCGCCCAATGTCCAGTCTCCAGCTAAGGCTCAGCCCCAGGCCAAGCCGGCCTCTCCCCTCCAAAGCCCTGAGCATGTTCCGGCTGAAGCTGCCGCGGCCCCCGCTGAGGGAGAGGCCCCTGAGGAAGAACAGCCAGGATCCCAGCAAAAGGCCCATCCTCTGCTGAAGTAAGAGCCGCACTATCGACACACTGTTGATAATGCAAAGACGTGCATTTCAATGGGCCATTCTTTGTGTTTAGGATACAGAAGTAAATGTCTAAATCCTTTCTTCTGTAGAAAGGTAATATATGGAATTCCAATCGTCCAATTGATTATCAATAGAATTTTTGTTTAATGGTGTTATTTTAGTGTGTCGGTCGAAGTGGTAGTTGCTGAAATGATTAAATTAACACTTTATTTTAATCCTCCCTATTTAAGCAGTATATACATATTTAATAATGTAGTTATTACAGTCTATACGGTCTGTTGTGTTTATTGAAGTATTTGTCACAACTATTGCATGTTCATATACTGCATATGTTTGATAAATAGGGTGGTTAAAGTACAATGTTAACATTTTGGAATGTTTTCAAAGATCATTGCACAAATATTGTGTTTGTGAACTTTTTTGCCTCCATATTTCCCTGTTTGTCTTCATCCTTACTCTTCCATCTAACTCTTCCTCCTTCATTCCTCCCTGCATCCCATCCTTCCTTGCCTACCTACTCGCCCTCTTGCCCTCCCCTCTCTCTTTTTCCTTCCCCCTCCCCTCCCAGTAAGTCCCAGTCCCTGACCAATGCCTTCAACGCCTTCAGCGACTCCTCTTTCTTCCGCGGGGTCTCAAGCACCGGAGGCGACGGCCAAGACGAGGAGAAAGCCGAGACCATTCGCAACCTCCGAAAGTCCTTCGCCAGCCTTTTCTCTGACTAGACACAGGCTAACCGTAGTCAGCCCCTTATTGATTATGCCCCCCCCCCCCCTTTTACCGTTGGCCAGTGATGACTTGATTGACATTAAGTGTGAACCAGTCTGAGATTAAACTTTGTGTGTTAACTGTACTGCATTCCCTCCGTCCCCGTCCCTCCTCTCCTCCATCCTCAGCTTCTCTGTGTGAGTAACGGTGAGGCCTCCTGGGTAGGATGTTCAGTGAATGAAGCTGTGCCAGAATATTTGGACTGAAGGAGTTACGTCATTGATATCGACCATACAGCAGATTAGAGAAGAATAGAATAGAATATCAAGATATTTATTTTTCCCAGAGCACACTTTAATGAACTCTTTATGAAGTATATAAAAGTAGAATATTCAAGACTTTAGATGTAATGTACATTCAGTATATATATACGTATATATATATATACATATACAGTATATGAATACAAACATATAACTATAAAGGGACATAAGCCAATGATAAAACAAAGTCGAGTAGCACTTTCCAATCCACCTTTGTCAGTGACATAACTCTTTCATTCAGTGGCTGGATTTATACATATTTTTAAAAAATAGTCGGATATTTGACATTTGATGGTTTCCCCTACAGTGAATCAATTTTGGTCAGTAAGTGAAACTACGTGCGTAAAGAAAACTACTTCTTTAAGGATTTGTTCCTGTGTAAATCCAGCTGTTGTGTCTCTGGTCCTTGGCTACGGACTACTGGGCTCGTCAGTGCTGCCCCCTTTCTTGTCTACAAGCCTTGAAGTTCATTGTCGTGTGAGGGAGTCGGAAATACGTGTATGTTCATCTGTGTTCAATTGTTATGCATGGCTCCTCCAAGTGGTTCGGTGTGACTTTTGGAGAAGAAGGGAGCTCTATCAGTGTTGAGTTTCGCACTCCGTCGCCTTTCTCTCTCTCTCTCTCTCTCTCTCTCTCTCTCTCTCTCTCTCTCTCTCGATAGATGTTGTAGCCTTATTGTGAACATGTTTTCAATTCAGCTACATGTTAGCTGTGCAGACCTGGGTCGATTACCTCTGGAAATTCATTCATTTACGTTAAGGGTTTGATTAAGTCGGGCAAGGATTGCAACTGTTGTTAGCAGCTTTGGGATCAGGCCGATTGTGCCCCACACTGAATAAATCAATCCTAAATAGTAACTGAATGCTTTTCAAAGAGTAAAAAGATTCATGTCTGTAGCTGTGACTGGTGATTTATTGTTTCACCTCTGTGTAGATCTTTCAACAGTATTGTAATTTGTTGATTATTCTCATGAAAAGACATTGAGACAGTAGTGCAATAACACCTCGACATGACTGTTGAGCGCTGTCACCCTATTATAGATATAAATATGACCGTACATACAGGACCTGTGTATCTGTTAAATACCTAACTCTTACATTCCCTTTAAGATTTCTTTCAGTCGCAACTTTCCAGGTTGCTTTCTGCTGCAGTCAGACGCTGGGCTCCAGATTAATATGCCATTTTAAACTGTTGGTTTCTGTGATTGATCCTGTTTGTGTTGTGGGACTGAATTTAAGGCAACCTGGAATGAACCCAGTACCTTGGCTGGTGATATTCAGTTGAGCTGCTGCATTTCAAGTTCATACGTGTAAGAAAAAGAAATAAAAATCTCAACACCGCATCAAGCTGTCTGCTTATACATTTCCAGTACTATGTTGCAAGTAAACTATAACATATTGTATTTTGTATTTATGTAATTGTCATCTCAGGAGTTTATTTTTTGTAATATATTGATTGATTTTTTTTTTTGTTTGTTGACGCTCCATATTTATGGTAGCCTACAGTATATATTGTTTGTTTTGCATTGTGTTTTTATTTGTAGCTCAATACTGCTTTGCATGATCTGGTGACTGATGACGGTTTTTTTCTGTACAGATAAATAATAAAGATGTGGTTCCATCATTCCACTTATTCACGAAGTAAGATTCATGCTGATGTCTGCGCCTTTTGTTTCAGGGACAAAGAGCCACATAGATTTCACACATTAAGATCAGTTGATCCGTCATGTTACAAACTGGGAGCATGGAAAGATACTACTACTTACCAACCAGGGAGGGTATAAGGAAAAGATCCTATTAAGTTGCATTGTGGGAAATGTAGGATTCAGTGTTTCTGGAGCTTGATCCATTCCAGAAACAAAAAGTCAGGATATGTCGGACTCTACTGCTTCAATTTTGATTCTTTTTTACTGAATCTTTCCTTCACAAGTCCCTTTAAATTAAACTTAATGAACTAAATCACTTGAGTACCCAATGAATTTATATAGCAAATACGTGGAGCAGCTTTTAATGCTAAAAACTGTATGTTGAGACTGAAATGAGACATTTAGCGATAAGAGACCTCTTAAGTCTCTTAAGTCTAGTGAGGCTTAAAGACCGTTTGTATTATAAACTGAGGGTTTTTGCTCAGACGTTCAGTGTCTTTTTTCATTTTCAGACATTCTGTGATGAATATCAGTGTGTTGACAGAATCAATATAAATATGCCATTATTGACCCAACTGCAGTATAGCTTTTAAAGTACAGGCCATACAGTATATTTAAGATCTAAGGTCACTGATTTACTGAGGTTGTACTGACACCAGGTAGGTCTATACGTGTAATGTCTGTGTGCATGTGTGAGGCTGTTTCTGCTTGTTGTAGCTGCTTGTCAAGCTCTCTGAGACAAACTCGTGATTTTGGGCCATACAAAATTGATTTCCTCCCAATGAAGTCATCAGATCTCTTATTTGACAGCAACACTGGTGTATTATAATGCTTTATTGAGCCAAATGGCGAGTTCACAGTAAGGTTAGTGACAGCTCTGTTTGCTCTGTGTTCTTGCTCAAGGACACATCAGCAGGGCAGGTGGAGGATGCCTCGAACCGGTTTCCTCCCGCTTTGAAATATTCTGTGCAACTACAAAGGCAACAATGACTTTGTAGTCACAGAACAAACTTGAAGTTTAGTACAAAAATGAGTGATTGTTGCTACTTTCTCACCATTTAGCTGCAATGTCACAGTTTTGACTAACTCACCAGGTATTTCATTGATATTATAGAGGGGGAAAAGGGAACATCGTATTTTAAGTCTTACAAAGTCTAACACAACCATGAAATCATTCAAAAGTAACCTTTTATTACAGATATTGTTTGACTGATCTGTTGCTGTTGTGACAATTCACCTCGGAGCTGACTTCATATATTTAAATGATGGGATGTTGGCTCATCAGGACTTGATCCGATCAGAATATAGCAGCATATTGTGTAAGGCCTGTGGTGTCAACAAGCCATTTTCAAGGAGTTGTGAATATTTTTTCAACTTTCAGAACCTACAGTCTCATGCTCCTTAATAGAGTGATGGGGTGAACTACCTGCACTTAGCCAGCAGATGGCACTATATACATGTGGAAATATTCTTTATTGGCACATCAAGCCATGCCGTGTTTGCTCTCCCTCAGGTTCATGTAATTGGGGCCCTCCGCTCGGGCTGACTGTGAGCACCTAGGCCCAATGCTCCCAGTCACCATAAAAGCTGCCATCTTAGACCTCTCAGGGAGACTGCCATCCACATCTAATTAGCTCTTTTTTCGCAATTTAATTGGAATATTCTTTGGGAATAAATCAGTTAATTTAAGTGCATTATTGTTGTCTCTGCCTTTAATTAACATGGCCCTTTGAGCCGGTCATGAGAATAATGCAGCTCTATGCACATTAAATCAGTTTTCTCCGGATACTTGTGTGTTTTATTTGCTTACCTTTTTTTTAAGTTCTTCTTTTCAAATGATTACATGTCCAACCTTTGACGTCACATTTTTATAATAAAGCTAAAGGAACGGGGCACTTTCAATATGTGCCACTAACAACATTACATCTGTAACACAAACCACACGACATATATACACGTGAAACACGACTATGTTGCTACAACAGGTGAAAAGCATAAACTGATGATGAGAAACATATTCCCTGATCCTCTCACACAAACTCTTTATACGCATCGACGTTCAACAAAGACAGAGGAAACACGCTTTGCTCTCAGTTCTTGGTCCTTGGGACGACCAGTCAGCAGAGATCTGTGGGAACATCTCACTGCTCGGAGGGACATGGACGTGGGCGGCTAATGCACCAAAGCAAGCCTATACAGGCCAGACCCTGTTTGTCTTGGTGCTCATCCCAACCAACTGGGGCCACTGAGAGCAAGAGAGTATGAACGTAGGGTGGAAGGACCAATCAGTGCACTTAATTTAACACTATGAGATCCAGATTCAGTTCTTATATTATCCAATATATATATATATATTGGTATATATATATATATATATATATATATATATAAATATATATACTGTATATGAGGATGGGACGGAAATCCTGGTGTTACGCACCAGTGCTGAAGGGTTTGATTTTTGTCACCACAGCTTGTTCCCCTCCTCGGCCTGAAAACATGTCAATTCCACGTTAACGTAACTCCAGTGTCATGACAGTTGTAGGAGAGTCTTGTAAAGATACACAAGCACTTAGATGATGAACGTGTTCAGATACCAGGGCTCCAGTCCCCTGGGACTCAACCGTATAAACAACCAGAAGTTATTACTTATTATTGCTCACTGGTTGTTTTTTTTGTGACAGTAAAAATCTCAGGGGTGTCATTTTTTTCTAGTTCAGCACAAATAAATTCTGTGTGGGCAGGACTGTTATGTGAGAAAGAGCAAGAGTATGTGTGTGTGTGTGTGTGTGTGTGTGTGTGTGTGTGTGTGTGTGTGTGTGTGTGTTTAGGTCTGTAAGCAAAGTGTGCCAGCTGTCTGACTTCACAGTACAGAGTTATGACAGATCAAAGGCAGCTGAAGTCAAGCTGACTGTTAAGCAGAGTGAAAGTAGCATAAATGAACTAAGCGTCGATTTTGCTGCTTTTGAAAAAAAGTGATCACACAAGAGCGGGATTTCATATCTTAAGTGTTTTAATGCTTTAGGTTGAAAAGACAGAACTTAAACTTCACCTCGATTTTTGACAAGCACCACTGTCATGCATCTGTTCACACACTTTATTTTTATTTGTTTTACACTGAATTCTGCTACACAATCAGAGTCATTTGTTTTCAATTGTGCCTGGATTGTCAGTATGAATTTTTCAAAGATTCAGACTGAATTAAAATGATCATTGACATGCCGAGCCACCATGCAGTCACTGGAGCAGACAGATGGTCAGAGGCTGGTCAAGTGACACTGACAAAAACAGGAACATTGAGTTTCTTCACTGGCTGAACTTTTTGGTTGTGGAAACTGTTTTTCACCAGGCTGCTCTGCATTCTACCGTAAGTTTCAAACCAAATCTGACCAGAATCTGTCAGCCTATCAGGTGAATATTTAGCCAGCAGGACTCATGTCACGCCACATCCTTTGCAGTTTCATGTTTAAATGAGCCTCGAGTGACACCAGCAGGTTTAATGCTAAACATTTTAATTTGTGATCTAACCTCATGTGAATATTATTCCATTAAAACATACAATACACTGAGCTAACAAGATGTGACTTCAAGATAAGTGGGTTTAAAAATGTGAAAAACTGTGTCTGCAAAAAGGTAGCCTGTAGATGTCACTGCATGGTTTCAGTGTTAAAAATAGAGTGAGGTTTAGGTTGGGGTTAGTCTAAGGTCCTCAAACCAACAGTGTGTAGAGATGCAGCATGATTAGAAGAACCAACAGTCTGTCCTGCACTAAGCAAACTGTTAGTCTATGAACACTCAAAGGGTTTCCTGCACCGCTGACTTTGGGCTGATTTAAATGCAGAATTCGTCACATTGTCTCTCTCCACTATTGCTGTTTTTCAGCAGGTGAACTCAGTCCCGTCAAATGAGTCCATAGCATGATGACTGTGATGTGAGAGATGCAACTGTAATGTCATCATTAGTCCACTAAACCTTATACAGTCAGTCAGAAAACAAGCAGTCATTCATACACAGGTAACGACGTTCTGTTTTGGGGAATAAGCTATATTCTGGACGAGAATTAGCCAAGTGAGATGGTTCTATGTGAATATGAAGCTAGCTTAGCACAAAGCCTGAAAACTGGGGTCATGTAAACATCTAGCTAAGTTAGTTAACTTTAAGAGGCGGGGGTCTCTGTTGGTTAATGGCTAATACCCTTTAAACTGACGTTTTTCGACTTTTGTATATTTCATTCCGGTTAAAACAAACAAGATACAACGTGTTGATTTGTCATCTTTTGTGTGAGAGACGGACTGTGGTTTCACCCTCTTTCCAGTGATTTGTGCTAAGCTAAGTTAGCCGGCTGCTGATTCCAGCTGTTTTTATTTCACCCTAATCTTGGTATGGAGTTTGAAATGTCGAAATAAATAAGTAGTCATTTCATTAATTGGGCTTGAGATCAAAATGCAGCTTTAAAACATAAGAGTTCCACAGTCGTATAAATCATAGTTATGAGCTAAACGGTAATCTGATGCCTCCTCGTGCGTCCTCAGGATACCAGGCGAGTCGTGTTTAAGAGGAGGGAGATGGGAGTGAGAGTGAGAGAGAGAGAGAGAGAGAGAGAGAGAGAGAGAGAGAGAGAGAGAG